TGCATCAATTATTGTTTTTAAAATGAAATCTTACTTATCTAGATATTTTTCCTCTAATTAAATAGATTTATTTTATTTTATTTTTTTTTTTATATTTATTCTCCTATAAGTTCTCTCAGTGATTTAGTGTTAAATATTTTTTAGGATAATATTAATGTATTAACAAATTTAGTTAGTACATATGGTTTAATTAAATCATATTTTATCTTTTTTGTCTCTATTCAATTATTAATATGTACGTATTTTCATTATACGATTGCTTATATATATCTTAAATTTAAAAATTATTATTAATACATATGAATGTGAATAACAAAAACCTGTAAATTGATTAATTAAATTCACCTTATTGGACTTCTAAAAATTAAATTTACAATAATTAAATGTGAATTAAAAAACAATAGTATATTGTAAAAATTGTACGTAAGTAGTGAAAATTTCTACCTTCCTAAATCTTATGAAAAGTCTCTCTAAATACACGTTTTCACTTGGGTCCAACTATAAATATTTCCTTCTAAATATACATTTTGATCAGATTTTTACATATAGCCTTATCACAAGGATTTAGTATATTATTCACAAAATTGTAGTATGACGTTGAATGGAATTTAGAACCTATAGCTGAAGGTAGCAACGATAATAATCAGTTATGATGTAAAAATATATTAGAATGTATTAAATTCTGAACAAGCAAAAAATTTCTGTATCAAAAAATTGAGCCTAGATTTTTCTTAATTTACTGGAATCTCCAGTAAATTTTGATAACACATAATTTGAAACATTAATTTGCTATATAGGGTAATCAGTTTGCAAAATTATGTAAAATTTGAAGATCATTAAAAAAAAAAGTAATCGTGATTTTTGATTACTGATTTCTGATTTCTTCAACATTTTTTTGACTTTTAGATTAAACAAAATTTGTAGTAAATAAAGTTTGTATTCTTATCATTTTATAATATATTTGCAAAAATAGAAGTTGCGAATTAAAATATTCAATCAAATTTTTATAAATAATAAATGCGCAAATTTTGTCAAATTTAAAAGTCAAAAAAAATGTTGAAGAAATCGGAAATTAGTAATCAGAAATCAGTAATTACTTTTTTTTTAATGCTCTTAAAATTTCACATAATTTTACAAACCGCAATAATTGATAATCAATTATTGATTAGTTGATATAATCGATTTTTAATCAATTGTTTAAAAAAAATTTATCCAATAATCGATTGCATTTTTTGGTCTGATTGGTAACACTAAGATGACCAAAAGGTCACCTTAATATCAAAAAAAATAAAAAATAAAAAAAAATAAATATTTGAATGCTGATCAGCAATATAATCTTATTGTTAAAGAATTCCTCAACATAGTATAAAAAAAGAATTTATATAATATTATTTATAAATTTCATAGTATACAAATATATGATAAATCTAATACAAGCATAATGCTTTTATATCTCTTAAGTTAATATGATAAAGATCCAGATTATCTAGTTATACTAAGGCTTGAGAGGCTATCTAATAAATTTACTACCTTTTTTAGATAACCAGTCAACAGCATAATCTATAGATAAGGTTTTATAACATTGTAGTTCACAACAATATAGCAAAAACTAACCAGTACTGTATGAGATGGCACTTAGGAAAGAGACAAAATTAAGTGATTTCAAATTACTAAAAAGCTATTTCACCTGATTCAAATATTAGCTAATTAAAATTTAACTACAAAATATAGGACTTGATCGAATCACAAACTCCCTATCTCTCTAAAAATCAGCTGATTTCTGTTTTCCCCCTTAGTTTATTTATTGTTATTAATAAAGTACTAATAAAGTATGAAACTTAAAATGATTCTAATTAGATTTTATAATATTCATTAACAGGATCTAATAACCTTCAGTCCCAAGTATTATTTAATGATGGTGACCTGGTAATGATTGCTGTGATTCATGTTTCATATCCACAAACATGACATATGTTATGTATTTACCACCTTTTTGAGAATATTAAAAAAAAAGCAAGGACCAAGCTCTGGAATAAGACAATAAAATGGTTTGTTAAGGATTTTTGTAAATATAAAATAGTTATAGTCAAGAGCAATTTGAAGCAAGGTATCATGATATGTTGACAAAGTATGAGTTATGTTATTCATATCTAGAAAAGCTTTATAATAGTCATACTTAATAGACAAAGTATTTAGTGAAGGTGTTTATAGCAAGTATAGAATCTACACAGCATGTCGAATCTATTATTGACGTCATTAAAAAACATGTTGACTATGGCACCTTACTAAAGAAATTGGTTAATGTTATTGAACAAGAATTAAAAAAAAAAACGTAAAGATTAGATATAATATTAAATTGAATTTTGCTTAAATGTTCTAATAAAAAAAATTCTTTGCAAAATTTTACTGCATATTATGCCCTACCCTAACTTAACTAATATTAAACAAAAATTTTATTATATAAAATTAGATTTGATTTTAGATTACACGAATTGGTTTATAGAGGTGCGATATACTATGTACCGTACAAGTGCATCCGATGTATATATTTATTCATATAAATATATATACGTATCAATATGATTGCATCTTAAACAATTTTAAGGCTAATAAATTAGGTTTTATAACATTAATTTTATAAAAATAAATATATATAGCACTCTTAATTTTATTTTCAACTAAAAACTCCAGAAGAATAAATACATTTAATATTTAGCTATAAAACTCAAGTTAGAGATCCATTATATTATTTTTGCAAAAGACATGCTTACGGACTGGTTTGATTTTATCGCTATGTTGTCTAACGCTAATCAGATCATGCATGTTGCACAGATCTGTATGGAATTGAGTATAAATTCCGTTTTTTTAACACCGATTCACACATCAACCTTAACGATGGTTTCTTCCGAGGAAAGAATAGTTTTAAACGTTGGTGGTGTAAAGGTAAATAATAAGAGATTGGCATAATTATTTTATTTGGCGATCTTTAAAATTTTTTGACGTAGAATAATACGATCAAGGTATTGATCCTATTTAACGAGAAAAAAAACAGACCAAATTTTAACAAATTTTACGCTTAATATTGTTTCTTGATCATTCTCTATTCAATGATCATAAGACAATAAGTTAAAATATGAATCTCTATTTAATTATTTTCATACTGTTATCTCATTCCTTAGTATGAAACTTATCGTTCAACGTTGACTGCCTATCCTGACACTCTTCTTGGCGCAATGTTTCATGAGAGAAATCAAGAGTTACTTCGTCCGACCAATGGTAATGAATATTTTTTTGATCGAAACAGTCGAGCGTTTCATTACATTTTAGAGTTTTATCGCACTGGAAAGATATTGCTATTGGACGAAATAACAGGACCAAAGGAATCGACAATGGATGTCAACATTCAGGAGTTGATCGAAGAAATAAAATATTTTCAGATCCCTTTGCCGAGGAGAGACATCCCAACTGATCAATATCATGCTGTGCTATTGGATAAATTTATTGATGCATTGAAAGATGGCATTTGCGAAGCAAGATACGATTTTCATAACATTTTTGGTGCTGAATTTGCACCCATAAATGCGGGTAAAAAGATTTTTGTTACTATGCCCCCTGAGGGAAATTTTAAGAGATTGTTCGAACCTTTTAGATATAATGGCCATAAGATTATTGAATTATTTGGGGATGACATAGAAGAGCACATCAAATCTTTATTTCCTGACATTAAATTCTCGATTATCGAAGGTGAAGTGGAAGAGAATGATGTTGGGTACAGGGTTTATGTTGTTAAAATAGAGATTGGTGATGAAGCTTGGAATCGGGATGCTATTCTTGGGAAATCTTGTCTCAAAAAAAAGAAGCCAAACGATCATAATGAAAGTCTAGATAGTTGATTTAATTGTTCATCATCTTTGCATTTTGTTATTTGATCATAGGTCATTATAATTCGTTTGGTAATTTCGGCTTAATTTACATATAAACGTTAGGGAGTTTAATTAATTTGTTTTAAGAACTGACTTTGTTCTTTCATCCCTTAACTTTCGACGAAGAGTTTTCACGAAACATTTAATAGGTAAATTTCTCTATTCCTGTTTTTGCCACATCCTGTCTATTTGAACTTAAAACGATAGCTTACTTTTTAGGCGAAATTTTTGATAGTTCAATAAATAAACTCGGTATATTTCGTTATAAAATTGTGGGGTAATGCAATTTGATCTCAATAAACGTATACATAAGAGAAATTTTATAAACATAAACGGACAATTTTTATTATCAGCTTTACTTAACTCTTGTTTTCAACTAAACTTTCTAAATGCATTTCCACTTGAGACTGATTATAAGTGCGTGTAGAAAATAATTTTAGAAGTTATTATTAGTTGGCATAAGATTAATTTATAAATATTAATAGTTAGAACTGATGCATGGAGTGCGCTTGTAGGACTTGTAAAATTTGCTTAGGAAGGTCTGACTGTATGTCAAACACTAATTCTTATAGCCAGCTCGAAAGTCACTGAATTCTATAGTTTTTTATCAGGATAGTACATGAAAATCCTGATTTTGTAAATTTCGGATACCAAAATAATTTTATAGCGATAGGGTACTCGATGACAGTGATTATCATTCGAAGTATATTAGATAATAATAATAAAATGATAAATATATGAATAAAAAAATTCTTTTGCTAAAAGTATAAAATAATAAATAAAGAAAAATATTAAATACACGACTACCATAAACGAGTGAATGTCTCTTTTTTGCCTTATCGTTATAATTTCTTGTATTTATTTAACGAGTATACAATGCTATGAAATGAAAACCATGCTATTACGTATCAAGATCTTCGAAGGTTCAAAACAATATAGTTAAATATAGTTTCTTATTGAAATAATCAAGTTTTAGATTGGTCAGGAAAGTTATAACTACTAGTTGCAAATTTAAATTTATTTATTTATTTCTTTTTTTATTTTGAATTTGCTGTATACAGGATAAGATTAGTTACAGATTGTATCATGATATTAATTTAAACTATCTATTATATCTTGTATAACCACCTAAGTGTAGCAAATCAAATTTTCTATTAAAAACTAATTTAAGTTAAACTACCATTAGTTATAGGAATGGAAAGAGAAGGCCCAGGGAAATTTAAACTTATTAAAACAATCAAATAAGAGATCTTGATTTTCTTTAACTACAATACTAAAAACTAATAAAATTTATTTTGATAATAATAATAATAAGAGTGAAAATTATAATTGTCTGGAGTGTAGCAATGAACACTCAATTTTTACATATTAAGTGATACAAAAGTTATGTTTTTAATGCATTTCAACCATCAAACATTTTCTTTTTGATGTATTAACATAATTTTTATAATTAATAGACAAATTGCGAGTCACCTAAACAAATTTTTTTTTATATATAAATTTTACTATAAATATGAAGTGCAGCATTTTTATCTAAAACTTTTTTTTTACTAAGTAAATCACTCTTGAGCTTGTAACAAAGTTGTAAAGCTTATCAAGATGCATCTAATGGTAGTAAAAATGTTAAAATCGGTCTGATGGTTTTTAAGAAATTTTTAAAAAATTTCTTTTTCACATATAAAATTTTTTTAAAAAAAAATCAATTTTTTTTAAAGAAATTTTATATATGAGAAAGAAGTTTTTTAAAGATTTCTCAAGAACCATCAAACCAATTTTAACATTTTTACTACTATTAGATGCATCTCTCCATATAATGCATAGTTACAAAACTATTTTGAAACAACAATTGATTACCAGTATATTCAGTGATATTGCCAAATATCATAATACTCTAGACTTATATTGGTTCTCAATTTCTAGTAATAAAATAAATTTTTTTCTTCAGCAATTCTGTTTATTTCATTATAAGAACAGACCTTTATCTTTACAAATGTATGAAATCAAGATCTATAGTATTCCAACTAAAATATAAACTTATTTAGTTTTATTTTATAAGTACTGTGACATCCACTTGTGGTTAGGATAAACTATTAAATCACTGTATTATACTTAGATACAACCTGTTTAGCAACACTTGGCCTCCTCTAAAGATTCAGAACTTACTCCAATCTTATTTTCTCTAAACTTTTTGGCTAGCTGTTGCCTATTTCATCAAAAATCCTATCATACAATAGAATATAGCCAAACTGATGACATTTTCTTGTAAAAAAAAATAAAATAAAATAAAAAACAAAAAAAAAAAAGAATATAATAAAAACTAATATATTAAAGAAAACAAGTATTGATACTAAGAAGTAAAAATCTATATTAAAACCTAAAAAAAACCATCATTAGAAAGAAGAAAATCTGTTAACTAGACAAAAACTTCTAACTATACAAAATAACAATCTACTATTAAGTGCAAGAGTCTTAACTAATACTAAACTGCACTATAACTCATGTCTAGTAATAGAACTTTCAAGTTTTTAGTTAATAATTAAAACATTAATAATGCATTATTAATATTATTAATAGTTAATAATTCTATCTATTGCTAATAATGTGTTTAAATTAAATAAACTACTAATGAAATCAATAAAAATTTAATTTAATAAAAAAATATTAAATTTAATTTTGTTGTTTACTATATTTTTGCATAATATGCTTATGAGCATTATTATGCAAAAATACGATAATATCTAAATTCACTAAATTGTTAAAAATTTTTTGAATTATTTATATTCGAAATATTATGTCAATTAATAAATTTAGTCATCACTAATAATGTGCTAATGAGGTCAATAAAAAGTTAAATTTATTAATTACTGGCATATCATTTAATAACTAAATTTGTTGAAAGCTTTGAATTATTTATTTAAAATGTCATCCTAATGTAAATTTGGAAGAAAAAAAAAACCAGTCTAGCAGTAATTTCATGAAGAAAAAAAGTTTAATAGTTTGCACTATATTGCTTAATGTAATTTTTGTCAGCAAACCTGTTATAGCAAACTTTTAAAAATAACAAAATATTTGTTAGAAATATGTGAAGAGATTAATCAAGATAAATGTAATGACATTAGAGATATTTTAAAAAATGATAAAACAAAGAATTTATGAAAAGATACCTTGTTATATCAAGCTAGTAATGATAATAATAATATTGTTATAGAACAGTTTTATTTTATTAGTTTATTATTTTTATCTTAGTATTATTTTATTATTTCGATATTTGTATTTTATTAGTTATTAGTTATTATTATATTTATCATAGAGAAGAATT